TTTTTTTTTTTTTTTGAGACGGAGTTTCGCTCTTGTCACCCAGGCTGGAGTGCAATGGCGCGATCTCGGCTCACCGCAACCTCCGCCTCCCGGGTTCAGGCAATTCTCCTGCCTCAGCCTCCTGAGTAGCTGGGATTACAGGCACGCACCACCATGCCCAGCTAATGTTTTGTATTTTTAGTAGAGACGGGGTTTCACCATGTTGACCAGGATGGTCTCGATCTGTTGACCTCGTGATCCACCCGCCTCCGCCTCCCCAAGTGCTGGGATTACAGGCTTAAGCCACCGCGCCCGGCCCAAATTAGATATTTTTTAAAAGAAACACAAAAAAACATATTGAGAATAGTGGTAATGCTCACCTTTTACAGCTGTCTCCAGGGCAGCTGGGCTCTCTGCTCCTGCACTCAGCAGTGGGACATCACATCTCACGTGGCCACTGCGGAGCCAGCCCACTGTGCTCAGGGGAGGGCAAGAGTGAAAAGGCAGAGGAGGCTTTACTATCATTTTGAGACTAGCCTTGACCTTGCCTTCTCCCTGGAAGGGTATCGCAAACCACTGCTCTAAGTGATCCTTTACTTAGAAACAGTTACTCTCTGGTGGAGGAAACCTAGTGTAGCCACAGGCTAAACTTGCCACAGCCAGCTTCTGAGCTGGGGAGAATAGGAAGATCTCGGAGGGAAGCTGTGAATCCGTGTTGAACTAGTCACCAAGCCGTCAGCGTCAGCATATAAGGCTACACGAATATAAATTAAAATATTCGGGCGTGTGGGCTATCCTCAGAGGCTGTTACTAATGTAAAGAACTTCAGGTAGGTCCTAACCCCTTATTTGATGATTATAAGTCAATTATTCTTGCCTTCTTTCCCATTGTTAATATTCAACAAAGACTGTTGCATTTTCACTTAAGGAAAACAGATTTTCAGCCAGACTCTCTCCTCCCCTCCTTAGGACCAATTCTGATTCTGCTCTTCACACGAGTGCTCTGAGCACCAAGCCCCAGGACCCCTATGGAGGAGGGGGCCAGTCGGCCTGGCCTGCCCCATACATGGGTAAGACACACAGGCCACTGCTGACAGCAGCTGTGCTTGTCATTCTGTCCTCGGGCCCGAGGGAGACAGAGGCTGAAATAGTGTTTGCACTTGCCCGGTTCAGTGGTCTTTGAGAAGCAGCTCGTGGCAGGGGAAGTGTGTGTCCGGGATGCAGTCAGGATGGATGGAGCTCCTGGGGTCCTGTGCCTCTGCCTGCTTCCTCCACGGCACGCGCTCCTTGTTGGTGTTTCTTGGCCCTCCTCCGGGCATCCGTCCTCTTCTAATAATTTCCTAACTGGTCTCCTGATTTCCAGTCTCACATCCCTTCAGTCCAATTTTATGTTAGGTTCCCGAGAGTCCTCTTTCCCCACCTAGGATCTGAACAAAATGAAAAATAAAGCCAGAAGTGACAGACAGAGCTAGATCACCTTTATTACTGAAAAGACCAGGTTGGAGGAAGTGGCTGTCTCCGTGGGTCAGTGGGCCTGTTGTGACTGAACCCCTGCGTGAGGCTGACTCCTGCTGAGTGGCCGGCAGCACTGGCCAGCATGGTCCCGGGGAGGAGGGGGTCAGGTAAGCCTGGGGAGGCAAGGGCAGAGCAGAGGCCTGCTGCCTGAGGGAAGGCACGCCTTTGAGAAGGAGATGAGGAGGCTGGACTGGAACTGCGCATGCCCTGTTCAGTTGGCCCTCTGGCCAGTGTCAGGGCATGGAGAGAGCCCAGGAGTAACCCACACATGCCATCTCACAGTGTCTGCTTTCAGAGCGAACCCAAACCCGATCATCTTGCTCTCCTGCTTAAAATCCTCACTGCCACCTCTCACCTTCAGGAGGAAACTCAGATCTTCTTTGGAATGGCATGAGCCCCAAGGTCTGGCTCCTGTCTGCTTCTCCCTTTTCCCTCTGCTCCCCCGCCTCACACCCAAGGTAGCCATGGGAACCACCTCGGGTACCACTGTTTCTTCCTGTTCCCTTCTCTTCCTCTCTCACTCACTCCCGGCCTTCCTGGCCGACACCCTCTTGATCCATAAGCCTTAGCTCGTGTGTGTCCCCACGTCTGTGGAGCCATCTTGACCTTCCTCCCTCTCAGCTCAGAATTGCAATGTCCTTCTAACATCCCAGACTGCTGTCTTAGCACCTGCACTGCTTGGCGGCTTGTTTACATGGATATGCTTCTCTTTCTCTGCTCAGTGTAGATTTCTTGAAGACAGCATCTTAATGGCCTTGTTCTCTCCAGCTGCTAGCACAGTGCCCAGCACAGAGGAGCCCGTACTGATGGAGACGTGTGAAGAACCACACACGGGCTCACATGTGCACAACACTTGCCAAAACACCGTCTAGGTGCTGGCACCTGACCTGTGCATGAAGTGAGGGAGGCTGGTCATTCAGACACATTCCAAGCCTACCTTTCTGGGGTTTATAATCTAGAAAGAACAATGGTCTTGGATTAGCCATTCTGTGTGCAGACTGACTCTTGACCAAAAACTTTCAGGGCTGTGTATTTGTTCTTGAAACAGGAATAAATACATCTTTAGCCACAAAACCAGCTTTTCTGGTTTTCTTTACTTTTTGGACAATGTAAGGCCTAAATGGCCTCTTTTCCTTCCAGGAGAACATTCATGGACGTATTTCTTTGTATATAGCAGGGACAGGATTTAATAATAATTGTTACTATATTTGTTCTATTGGTGCAGTTCGGAGAAGACTCCATTAGCCTAAATGATTGTTTGCTTGTAAACTATGAGAGCTTTCAGAATTGGTTAGGGGCATCGACCCATGCTTCTACACATGGGAATATGAAAGTTGGTGGTGATGTTGAAATTGGATATGGGTCCACTGCTGACTGCTTAGAGAAGCAGGGTGTGTGGGAAGAGGGATTCATTTAGTTTCAGGATAGGTAGAGATGGGAATATGTAAACAAAGCCTAAAAGAGCAGAGGCTGCCATCGGTGGGGGCGCCTGTGAGCACAGCAGGATCGTAATGGACGGACAGATTTTTACCCTGAGCCCCTGCCTTTCTGCTTCTGCCATTCCTTCATTTATACTGCCCTCCGCAAAGTTCACGCTTCTCTAGAAAGGGCCAAAGGCCTAGAGAAACAAGGTAATCACAGGTAATTCAAGTGAGGACCTTCTGAGGCTTGCATGCGGAGAAAAAGGAACTAAAGAAAGCAATTACCTGAGTTGAAGTATTCATGCTGAGCGATGTAGGCTCTGCGAGAAGAGGTGGGAAATGTCAGAAAGTGTAAGTGAGGATGGAATAAGAAGAGCAAAGGAATGTGAATATTGGTCTAGGTAGACAGAGCAGTGAGAAAAACAGGAAGAAAGAAAGAAATCCTGGAGCAGGGTTCCCGCGTTGACTTGAGAATCGTGGCGGTCTCTGCTTTTCAAATCAGCAGTTAAAAATTATTGGGCTCCAATATCTGACACCCATGGAGGGTGGGCTGGCCCCCAGCTCAGATGTCTGAACTGTGCCTGCTCCTTGCAGTTGCCCTGCAAGTATAGCAGAACTCAGAAACACAGCCTAATATGGATGTGTTTACATGGGAAAACCAGTGTGTTTAAAATATTATCCAAGTCTCCAAGGATGGAAATTATTTCTGGAGAATTATATTTGGTGGGAGCTATTTTAAATTGTTTCATGTATTTTCCCCCTGTATTTCATTAAAGTGTTTCATTTCTTTCCTTTTGGATTTTGAAAATATCAACTAGCTTTGCAAAAAGGTATTTCTTATAGGAGCAACTAAATAAAGATTTAAAAAGTGAAGGGAAAATATAATTGAAGCCGGAACTGAGTTCTTTGTTAGAAGCAATAATAACTGCTCTTTCCCTGGGAATCTCCTGAGCAGAATGATGTAGCCACACTTTTTTGTTATGGTTGTTGTTGTTGATGTGAGCCAATGATGAGAGCATCTGCTCACAGTGTAACTACATGAGCAGTAAACTGTGGTACATTCATGAGTGGAGATTTGTGTCACAAGAAAACAAAGCCTGATACATGTTGAGTAATTTTCGTAATGGGCTGTTGAGTTTCATGACAGTTAGGCATAAATGATAAGCAGTTGGCGTAAATGATGGAAATAAATTTTTATGCAGCCAAACAAGATTTTATAATTTCTGTCTTTTTGTTGAATTATCTAGAATCTGTAAAGAGGGAATGCTGGCCATTTCCCTGGCAGCATGTGCAGCCTGATGACCACTTCACACATATGTGCAGAGAAGCAAGCACAGGGCTCTCTGGGACACGGACCCTGTCCCATAGCCTAGGACCATCCCCTAACACCCCTCCTATCATCAGGCATGTGGAGGAGGGGCTGGGGTAGTCTCCTCCTTTCAGGGAATAGAAGGGTGTGTGATAGTTGTCTTCTCTGCACCCAGCACTATAGGTGCTGTTCATTGCCATCTTTGGGGACCACAGTCCTCAGTTCCTTAGGGTGGAGGGGGCTTGGCATGCCTTGGACCCAGTAACCTTTCACCTGCCAATAAACTTTGACCTGCAGCATTAAGGAGAAGGTTTACAGTGCAAATAACCTTGCAAGATGGAAGCCTGTTAATTGCATGGATTGGGCGGGGGTACAATGGCAGGTACAAGCATCCCAGATCTGACGAGGGGCAAACAGAGTCCCCACCCGGGGACAAGAGGGCCCAGAATGGGGAGACCGAGACACTGGAGGCTTCCTTTAGGAAATTGGTTACGAGTCTTCCCCTGGCCTTCCCTTCCACTTAGCAGATCAAGGCTGTGTGAGGAGTTATTTTAGGTGCTCCAGGCATGGGAGCGCAGAGAAGGGACATGGTCTCGGAAGAGACCAGCCCTCAGTGGCTCTGAGGCCGTGAGGTTTCCTGGAACACAGATGCAGCCTTGGTCATCACTGTCCCATCCCTGTGGGACTGATAAAATTAGTGTCCTCTGTTTCCAGATATCCAGTCACAACTCATTCCTTTTCCTTTTTAACCCTTTATTTGTAGTGATATCTTGTGGGTTTTTTTTTTTTTTTTTAAATCTAGTAGTAAAAATCCAGGCTTGCATATTTTGATTTTATGTTAGCTTGGTGCCAGGGTATCAGTCATTGCCACCACTAGCCTTCTGGGTGCCGAAGCTCAAACCCTGACAGTTTCTTTTTTTTTTTGAGACGGAGTTTCACTCATGTTACCCAGACTGGAGTGCAATGGCGCGATCTCGGCTCACCGCAACCTCCGCCTCCTGGGTTCAGGCAATTCTCCTGCCTCAGCCTCCTGAGTAGCTGGGATTACAGGCACGCACCACCATGCCCAGCTAATTTTTTGTATTTTTAGTAGAGACGGGGTTTCACCATGTTGACCAGGTTGGCCTCGATCTCTTGACCTCGTGATCCACCCGCCTCGGCCTCCCAAAGTGCTGGGATTACAGGCGTGAGCCACCGCGCCCGGCCGGACAGTTTCATTTAATGACTCCCCTTCCCATGCCCCAGGATTACTCCCCTTCCACGCCCATTCAGTAGCCAGGTCCACTTCATTTTATCCCTGCAGCATGTCTGAAATCTGCCTCTGGTTTTCTGTGCTTGCTGCCAGTATCCTACTTGGTCCCTGTTTGCTTGGACTATTGCATGGGTTTTCTACTTGGCCTCCCTGTCTTAAGGCTTTCTTCTTTCAATCCACCTCCTGCTCTGCTGCCAGAGCAGTCTCTGAAGCTTAGCTCTGATCATGTCACTTCCCTATCTGAAACCTTCCATCCCCCGCATCCTGCCAAATGACCAGCAGCCTCCTTCGGTCCAGCCCATCTCCCAGTCCCCTCAGCATGTGCTGCAGCCATGCTACACGATTCCATCTTCCTTCTCCTTATCCCTCCCTGATCCTCCCCCTCGCCCTCCCCCATCTTTGCGCAGGGCATCCCCTTCAACTTCACTTCCAGTTGTCTACATCCTCCAGGTACTACAACAGATTGGTTAGGGACACGAACGTTCTGAAGACACACAGGCCAGAGTTCTAGTCCCAGAACTTACTAGCAGTGTGATCTTGGGCATGATATTGGCGCCGACCTCACAGAGTTGGTGTGAGGACGACATGAGATCACCTGTGTGAAACATCCGGCACATAGTAAGTGAGCAGTCAGGTTGGCTGTTGGTTATCCTCTTCTTCTCCTCAAGTGCCACCTCCTCCATGAAGCCTTCCTTCTGTTCCAGTCTGATGGAGAGCATGTACTAATGGGCTCTCACATGGGGTGTCTGCCACCCACTCAGGCAGTTTCACGTAGTAGCCCTCAGTTGAGTCCTCGTGTTTCAGGGTCAGGTCACCCTTAGTCACCTTGAATGATTGGTGTCTTGATGATGAAGAGATGGTTCAACACACCATACCAGATTGCTATATAAAACCTAGTTTTTAACAGGATAGTCACTTTTCAGTGATCAGAATAGTCAAGTTCCCTGCCCTTTTTTTTTTTTTTTTTTTTTGCCATCTTTTTCTAATTATACTTGAAGTTCTGAGATACATGTGCAGAATGTGCAGGTTTGTTACATAGGTATACACGTGCCATGGTGGTTTGCTGCACCCCTCAACCCGTCACCAACATTAGGTATTTCTCCTAATGCTACCCCTCCTCCACGGGCCCCAGTGTGTGATGTTCCTCTCCCTGTGTCCATGTGTTCTCATTGATCAGCTCCCACTTATGAGTGAGAACATGCAGTGTTTGGTTTTCTGTTCCTGTGTTAGTTTGCTGAGACTCCCTGCCCTTTCTTAATATGAGGGTCTCAGGAAAGCCCAAGCATGAATCTGAAGCTCTGTCCTTTTGATTGTGCTGGCTGTAGAGCCGCAGCCTTTCTCTACACACTTCAGTGTCCGCCTGTTCACATTGCCTGTGTTGAGATGGGTTAAATGGCTCATTAAGTAAGAATGGGCTAAAGACCTTCTGTAATAGTCTCCTGAGATAATGATTATTAATGGAAGCTGGGCGTGGTGGCTCACGCCTGTAATCCCAGCATTTTGGGAGGCTGAGGTGGGCTGATTACCTGAGGTCAGGAGGTTGAAACAGCTTGGCCATAACGGTGAAACCCATCTCTACCAAAAAAAATACAAAAATTAGCCAGTCATGGTGGTACGTGCCTGTAATCCCAGCTACTGGGGAGGCCAAGGCAGGAGAATCGCTTGAACCCAGGAGGCGGAGGTTGCAGTGAGCCGAGATGGCACCACTGTACTCCAGCCTGGGCAGCAGAGTGAGACTGTCTCAAAAAAAAAAAAAGTAGCCGGGCGCGGTGGCTCACGCCTGTAATCCCAGCACTTTGGGAGGCCGAGGCGGGTGGATCACGAGGTCAAGAGATCGAGATCATCCTGGTCAACATGGTGAAACCCCGTCTCTACTAAAACTACAAAACATTAGCTGGGCATGGTGGCGCGTGCCTGTAATCCCAGCTACTCAGGAGGCTGAGGCAGGAGAATTGCCTGAACCCAGGAGGCGGAGGTTGCGGTGAGCCGAGATCGCGCCATTGCACTCCAGCCTGGGTAACAAGAGTGAAACTCCGTCTCAAAAAAAAAAAAAAAAAAAGTAGATTCCTTGGCTGATTCTCACACCTTCTGAATCAAAATCTTTGAGGGTTGGGCCCAACAATCTGCGTTTTAGCAAGCTTACCCAAGGGCTCTATATGTGCTCTAAAATAAAGCTTTCAAACACTTACTTAGATTCTGGTTCCATGAGCCCAAAGAAATTCTGTCTCTGTGTCTGCTTAATTTATCCACCTCTTCACACTCCTGGGGACTCTTCGTGGTATCCCACCCCAGGGATCTATTAAAATTTTTTGTCTTCTACCTGTGTTACAGAGTGTGCCACCATGTTACAGAATGTGCTACCGTGTACCGTGTTACTGTGTTGTGTCTTCTCACCTACTCTGTATCACCCGGCTCCACCTAGCACTTGATGCAGAAACTTACTCAATATGGGTTGAGTGAATGGTTATTAGACACTTCATTGACATTGTGTAGACTATTCACTTTAACCTACAGGTTAACCTTACCCAAAAACTTATCTGAAATGTAAGTAAGCTATATTTAAAGCCTTAGGATTTAATAATGTATCCTGATTCTGTACTGAAAACTTATTTGGTATATTTGATATATTTGATTGCTCCTAGGGGAACGCTAAGATATTACATTCTTGGCATGGTTCTTTAGTTTTAGCTTAGAGCAATAGGAAATACTATACTTTGTCATTTGTGATGTAATTCATGGATTAAAAATACTTCACTCAGCCAGAACTTATTCCAAGTCAAAGTTTTAAAACTGTGAATAGCTATCTCATGTACCCTTTAAATTGACTTAGACTCCAGATAAATTTTCTTCTTAAAATAACTTCACTGCATAAGAAATATATATATAATAGCATACAGCATGGAACTTCGGATTTGTCCTGTAGACACCATGGTGAGTATAGACTTTTGGAGTTACCTGCTCTTACCCCCATGATAAAGCATTTAGGAGAGAATTTCCATCTATGCTTTTTTACTTTGTGGTTTGAATAGAGATTCTCAGGCTTTGTAAAAATTGTTCTTCTCTCAAGACAGAAACAGTAAGAAAATTTAAGACTGAGACAATTTTAAAGGAAAAGAAAAAGGAACCAACTTTAGTCTCAAATTAGTTATACCTATTTTTAGAGTAAATGATAAAGCACCTTAAATGAAAATCAGTGTATCAAAAGTGCCTTAGAATTTTCAGAATTCTACTTAAATCATAAAGAGTTACTAATTCTTAAATACATGAAAATGAAAGTACCACATAAAAGTGTTTTTTTTTCCTTTTTCCTTTCCCACTAGGTTTCTGTGATGGTGAGAACGATGGACATGGGGAAGGTATGAACTGATTTTACCTGCCTGTGTTGGAGTGGGATGCTGAGTAGTGGACATTTTTCATTAGCTTCACTAATAAACATTCATGTTTTCAGGACTCCCCCGTATGCTGACAGCTGCTGATTGGCTTACATTTCAGAGAGCCTCTAAAACATTAAGGCTAGCCATGTTGAAGGCCAGGAGAAAGTAATGTGTGGTTACATTACAAAGCTTCCTTTTTATTTAGGTCCCCACAGTCACAAGGTTGTGCAAGGAAGCAGAAGTTGTGATCACATGAAAATATGAATGAATCAATCAGTTAAACAATTAGTTATTCCAGTAGTCTCTGCCCATTGAGAAAGTCTTTGTTGACGTATGTAAATATACAATGTCCCAATATGGGCCTGAAAAAAAAAAAAAAAAAAAAAAGAGCCAGTATGGGCCTGAAAAAAGTAAATAAATAAACAATGCCAGAAAAATGTAAATTGGTTGTGAAATGAAAACGCAAACCTGACACAAGATGCTGAGTTCGTCAAACCGATTCAAACAGTGTTGGAGATCTATGGAAATGACTCTCCAAGCCATTGACAAAGGAGGGGCCCCACACAGCATTTATTCATTCAGTACCAGCTACAATTTTCTTTTTCTAAATCCTTATAATCTGGACTTTAATTTTTGTAATCTGAAAATAACAAAATTAGGTTTATATGTCACAGAGGTGAGACGGATGGGGGACGCGATGAATGAGGAGCGTCTTGCAGGAGGCACAGCTCTCTATCATATTCTGCACATGCCTTTCCTGGGCAAGCCCTTTCAGGCTATGAATAAAATCACGAGAAGTTAAGACATCAATAAACATCTCATCCATTAGAACAGAAATTCATAAAATCACAAGAAGTTAAAACATCAATAAACATCTCATCCATTAGAACAGAAATTCCTAAAACCACAGAAAATTAAAACATCAGTGAACATCTCGTCAATTAGAACAGAAATTCATAAATGGCTTCAAGGTTGGGTGCATTCCTTCAATGCCTCAAAGAATTCCCACCAAATCTTGGATATGAAAAGGTAGTAAAAACAATGAACTCTAAGAAAACAGTCCCCATGAAAGCATTGGAGTCTGCCCCAACCATATTCTTACAACCAGCCTCTTTTGAGAAATAGCCTTGAGCTGTGTGTGATACCACCTCACTCAACCCTTGAAACCTCCCAGCATCTGACAGTACCTTTCAGGGCAGTTTCTTTTTTTTGGAGGGGGACATGGAGTCTCGCTCTGTTACCCAGGCTGGAGTGCAGTGGCGCAATCTCAGCTCAGTGCAACCTTTGCCTCCCGAGTTCAAGCGATTCTCCCAGCTCAGCCTCCTGAGTAGCTCGGACTACAGGCACCCACCGCCATGCCCAGCTAAGATTTTTTTTTTTTTTTTTTTTTTTTTCTTTTTAGTAGAGATGGGGTTTTGCCACGTTGGCCAGGCTGATCTCGAATTCCTGACCTCAGACAATCTGCCCACTTCAGCCTCCCAAAGTGCTGGGATTACAGGCGTGGGCCACTGCACCCAGCCTTTTAGGGCAATTTTCTATGCTTGACCTCCCATTGTTTTAGTTTATAAAGGCTCTCAAAGCCCGTTTTTCTTGTTCTGTAGTTTGCTGAGAGCCAGCTCTAGGGTCAGCATTTATCAGACACAAGAGAGACACCTGGGGACACTGACAAAGCCTGGCCTGGTTTAGCAGAAGTGAGCGCTGTCCTGGTGGCGCTGGGCAGGTTGGCTGAAGAGCACTGTATCCTTCTCTTACTGTGCTGTCAAATAAGTTAGACCCCCACCCGTACTTCATTCATTCTAGAAGTCCACAATTGCGTTTATAGACTAGGTTTTGTTAAATACAAGATAAATTTATTTTAGAGTTTTTGTTTCAAACTCTTATCTCAGAATTTACTGGGAAAGTTTGGGCCCTGTTTCAGGTGCCTTCTTTCTGGGGTCCATTATTCTTGGGTACCCGGCCGTCCTGTGTGGGGCTAAGGCAGGATGGTCATGACAGTCACACTGGCACTTTGGTGGCCACTGGAACTCAACAGCATTCCTGGTTCTGAGCAGTCACCGGTGTCCCTAGCGTGGAATCCCGTTCCTGACATCAGACCCCTTAACTCCTGAGGGCTGCGCCTTGTTTTCTGGTCTCTTTCTGAGAACAAAAAGTATTTCCTTGTTCTGTGACCCAGCATTCTTGCTTTACCTGGTACAACTGAGAGAGTTAAAGCAGAAAGCCCTGGAATGGTCCCTTCATACTGGTGGTTTTACTGCATTAAAGAGCCAACAGCGGTCCCAGCAGCTGCCCAGCCTCAGATCCTCTGGGTTGTCAGTTCCTTTTTGTCCCCC